ACTGAGATGCAAATTGTTCTAAATTGCCTATAAACATCTTGTTTTCTTAAACAGCTTATTGAATGTAGTTTATTATTTTTTTCTTTTCCCAGTACTAGGATTGAACCCAGGCCTTGTGCGTGGCAGGCAAGCTTTCTACTACTTGATCTATTTCTTCAGTTTTTTGGTTTTTGCTTTTGAGACTGTCCTGCTGCTACCTTTGCCTGGGTTGGATTTGAACTAACATTTCTTCTCTTCCGTATACCAAATAGCTGGGATAACAGGTATGCAACTAGCATACCAGACTAGTTTAATCTTTACGTGACTACAAAATATTTATCACTATTAACTCTTTACCAGTCAAAAACCAGGAGTTGGAAGTGATGAGATACAGTAGTGTCAGCCAAGAACAGCAGGTCAGCACATTACTCTAACTTTTAAGTCCAGCAACTTTTTTATTCCAGTACTGGTGCTTGAACCCAGGGTCTTGGGCTCTCTCATGAGGACCTTCCTTGCTCATAGATGGCACTCTACCACCGTAGCCACAACTCCAATTCTGATCCACTTAGGCTATTCTCTTATCTTTCCCTTTTATGATGGAAATACGCATGTATGTCTTGGAAATAAATTAACTGCTTTTGATTTTATAGGGACTTAAAAGTTTGCCTTGAGTCTTAAAAGAGACTGTAAACTAAGATTTCAGAACAATGTTTTAACTGTTAAAAGGCCACGAGGACTTTTGAAGATAAGACTGAATGCATCTTAATATTATGATAAAGACATGAGACTCTAGGGGACCAAGGGTAGAATATTATGGTTTAATGAGATATGTTTGGGTGTCAAGGTGACATGGGGTGAGTTTATAATGCTTAATTATTATCAACTTGGTTGGATTAAGGAATATTTATAAGATTAGTAAAGCACACCTTTGTCTATCTCTGTGAAGGTGTTTCTAGAGTATGAGTGGGGCAGATGTCCCTGAATGTAGGTGACACTATCCCATAGGCTCGCAGTAGTGGGTGGCAGAGATAAATAAAGGAGGGAGAAAACCCAGAATTCAGCCATTCTCCTCTCTTGACTTCCTGGCCACCATGTTGTAAGTTTCTTTGCTCTGCTTTGCCCTTCCTGTCATGATGAACTGAAGCCTCTGAAACTGTAAACCAAAGTAAGTATTTTCTTCCTTAAGTTTTTTTTTTTTGTTGGTGGTTTTTGTTTTCTTGGCCAAGTATCTTGTCAGACCAATGCCAATGTCTGACTAAAACACTCCAATGACTGGATGTGCCAAATTATACACTTCAGAATTGTCCTCAAGCTGGCTAGAACAATTATTTGTTGCAGCATGAAGTGTAACATCCACTTATCTTAATTATGTTGGGGAAGCCTAATAGGCAGATTGGTGCCCAAGTGCACATCTGGACAGGACGCAAGACGCTATCTTAAAAATAACCAGTAGCGGGCTGGGAAGGTGGCTCAGTGGTAGAGCGCTTGCCTTGCATGCCTGGGGCCCTGGGTTCGATTCCTCAGCACCACATAAGCAAAAAGAAAAAAAAGAGCCGGAAGTGGCGCTGTGGCTCAAGTGGTAGAGAGCTAGACTTGAGCTGAAGAGCTGAGGGACAGCACCCAGGCCCAAAGTTCAGGCCCCACGACTGGACCCAAAAAAACAAAAAACAAAAATAACCAGTAGCTTACAGAGCTGGAGATGTGGCTCAGTAATAAGGGCACCTGACTAGCAAGAATGAGGCTCACAGTTCAAACCTTGTAATTGCCAAATGAAAGGAATATTTTCTTTAATCTCTAACATTTTTTATGGCATTCTGCTTTTTGTTTCCATAGAAAGCAGATTTTCTCTATACTAAGGGAAAAATGTTTTGAATTTTCTTTAATAATTATAGTTCTGGTTCACAAATTTAGGTCTTTAATCTACTTAAATTTTATTTTTATGATGGTATGAGCTTTCCCCTGACATCAATAACTATAGTATTTATTGAATTGTCTATCTTTTACCCACTAATATAAAATGCCTATGTATTAAGCACTAAAGGCTTAAATAGGTATTTTCTTTATTATCTTTCCCAGATTTGCTATATTTATCACATGCTTTTCAAAAATGCATTTCATATAGACTATATCCTTCTGAGAAAGTTTGAATGGATTTAATGTTATAAAAAGTACCAACTGCAGATTGAAATCAATGTCCATTTTAATATTTATTACACAGATGTTTACTTACACATATTTGACAACCATAAGGGGGAAGCTTGTGCATGTCACATTCGTATCACTATCCATATATGAACAAGTACACGTAATCATTTACCCAACTATATCAGAACATACACAATTTCTCAATTAAACAGACAGCAAATAAGAACAAGCAATAGACAATTAGTAACAACACAAGTAAGAATTATTTTTAAATGTACTACATTTTGATGACTTCAAGTTACTTATGTATTTATATTTTTAAAAATCATAAATTACAAGGGTCACTGTCAGGGTGAAAATATATGTTTTAAAGTTTTTTAAATATGATATTATGTGTTAGCATTATTTGATTTGTACTTGGCACATGTGGTATCTTAGAAAATAAAAATACACTTTGCCAATTTTGTGTATTGTGCAGTTATAAGAGAAAAAAGCACTGTGTTCAGTCATCAGGTCTGTCCCTAGGCCATGTTGTGTGAGGCAGGGTAATTACTTCTTGTTCCTAGAACCAGGACTGAATTTTTAAAATGCATACTTAAAACATATAGCATGGGTACTTAATGAATGATATCCTTTCCCAATGTGTTCCTATTTTTTTCACATGGTAGCAATAACAAAATATCATGGTCTTATTATGTATTACAGGTGGAAAAAATGTTAATTTAATAAATAATATTAATGTATTCTGGAAAATTACATTTTTTAAAAGTAAGGAGAAACCCTCAATTGGAGTAACTTTTTCCTAATAATATTTAATGCATACTATACCCTAATTTTAAAATAAATCTTAAACTATAGATGAAATGGTCAATGGTTAAGGACTTTTGGTTTTCTTTTGTGCTACTGATATAAAAATAATGGCTATATTTAAGGCTCATCAAGTCATTATAGTTGCCCTGAACCATCATGTTATCAGCTGAAACAGTCCTATTGCCTTGAATGACCATCCCAGATCACTCATGATATTCTATATTTGAACCAATCATAGCCTCCTTTCTAACTATGTAAAGGTTCGTTTGGTGGCATCTGGCAGTTAGTCCATGTCATTAAAGATTACTCATATAAACAAATCACAAACTCATCTTTTTCAGACTAAATACATGGTGTTTGGAAGAAATAGTATTCCTGAAGATTGAATGTATATTATTACAAGAAAAAGACTACTCTATACAGCCGTGCTGGCATCTCTACTGTTGAATCTTTTTGTTTCCTACCCTGACGCCCTAACAAATCATCCTTGCAAATGTGACTCAAAACCCCTCCTCTAGGAAATTTTCCCTAACAAAACTTTACACCTCTTTCCTTATGTCCTCTATACTCAAGCATAATTTATATGAATTTCAACTTGCATATATTATCATATTGAGTGCCTTCTACTCCCAGATATAATGTTGTCTATGACTTCCACAGTGTTTAGCACAGTGTTGTGCATGTACGTTCTGGCTGTGTATATGCATGTGTGATGTGTGTCTCTGTGTATTAAGTGAATTAATTAAAAAAATAAATAAACCTAAAGTACCTGGCGTCTGTAAGGTAGAAAAAGTTATATAATTTGACAGAAATCAGAATTGCTCTACTTTTCTAGTAGTAAAAGATTTGGTTCCCAAATCTGCATCCGTTTGCTTTGAGATATGTCAATAATAAAAAGGCAATAGGAAAAAAAACTGGTTTAAAAAACTTTATGAAATATTTCAAAAAGCTTTGTGATAAATTATCAAGAGCACCAAACCAAAACAATTACTAAATAGTGGTTTTACTTTCCCTATGACTTTATGAATGTAGACTTGTTTAGTTCAAGACAAAGAATACCAAACAGGAATAGGTGTTGTGAATCAGGATAGAAAGGCAATTCACTCTAGGCCAATACATAATACACATTTTGCAATTAATTTAAAAATCCCTTTGTGGTACATATATATATGTTATGTCAAGTAAAAGAATGGTTTATATCAAGATATCATAGATTTCTATACTTGCTTTAATACTGTAAAACATGAAACAATACTGAAGTTCCTACTTAACAAGACAAATTTTTTATATTAGCTATTAATATTAAAATAGGTTATAATAAAAAATTATTCTCAATGTGTATATTTTCAGATTTGCCTGACAGTGTCCTTTTAAGAAGTCTAACAGTTGGTAGTTAGATTATATACATTTGAATTTCACTTTCATGACTGAAAAATATTACATAATAACAAACAATAATATATAGTAGCATTTTACTGAAGCACTCCATTTATATTTAAAGCTTTGCTATAAAACAAACTTTATTGTACTTTTCATAAGTTAATGTACACAGAATAAATAAATACTATAATTACATAAAGAATAAATTAAAGTATAAAAATACAAGACCATAATCATGGGATGCTTTAGCTGTCATTCTAAATGTTGGTTTGTGCACTTCCATTTAGTTCTAATGCATTTTTCAGGCCAAGGAAACTTAATCTTTAAATGAAATTCTAAAAACTCAAGTTTGGTAAAAATTTAAGTGCCTCTTTTCTTAGATCACTTAGGAAATGAAATTTTAAAAATGGGCATACTGTGCTACATACTATATTAGTACAGCATTTTCTAGAGTCTATGACAGCATTGGTAAATGATAAGCTTATTTAAGTAATTTCTTATGTAAAAGAAAACACTCTAATTTTTGTGTATCATTTTCAAATCTTTTTTCTAATATGCAATAGTTATATAAAAGCAGTTCTTGAAATGCTCACTATTAACCATTTAAAGCAGCACAAAACGAATTAGACTAATTTATATAATTAACAAAAATAGGTGGAGAGAATATATATATATATATATATATATATATATATATATATGTATATTAGGGTGAGGTCCTAGAATTTGTTACACGTAAGGCTAGACTTGCAAGAGATCTCATGGCAAATGTAGACACTTTGTGACATATCCCAGCTTTTGAAATATAGTTAGAAGCCAATCGAAAAAGCCTTTCGGCACCAAAGGTATTGAAGTGGCCAGGAAGCACCTTCTCCACCAGACCTCTGTCCACTAATTCTATCAGACGTTCGCAAGTGCCAACATAGTCACTTATCCTGCTGTATGGGAGCCAGTCAATCAGTGATCCATCGTACACGACATCTCCACTGAAGAGAATCTTTCGGTCTTTGTCATGCAAGCAAATACTACCTCTGGAGTGACCTGGCATGTGCATGACAGTGAGCTGTCTGTCACCAAGGTTGATCACATCCCCTATAAATGGAAACATTTAACAGATAAATAAGCTGTATACATGATTTTAATCATTAAACATAAGGACACTGAATAGTTTCAAAGAAATCAGGAAGGATGATGCTCATTCACTATTACTCCATAAATACTATTATATCTTAATGATAATTTGAAAATAAAAGTGGCCTGTATTTCATTCCTATTGTGTTCTAGCTTAGTATTTGCTAAAGTGAGTAATGTACAGCTCTACTTTTGCAGGTTATTATAAGCTTTTTTTTTAAGAGTTAAGGAGCTTTGTTTTCTGTAAGACTTATAAAAACTTTTAATTTCACAATGGATATTATAGATATACATAAAGAAAATACACAATTTCTCAAACTTATTTGACTAGAAATCTTTTACTTTTCAGAACAGCCACAATACTACTATCCTGTTGGCACAACTTTTTAATGTTGCAATGGTGAGGTAGACTGTGTTTTACCCTTGTTATATCACTCTGTGGGAATTAAAGCTCAAAGATTTAGTTTGCATGATCAAGCTCTGGATAATGCTATTGATGTTGTGAAATAAATGATTTCTTACCCAGAAACTTCATGTCCTCTGTGAGAATCTACTAAATTGTTGCAGGCTCAGGCTACTTTTAAGTAGGGCAAAAATCTCAAAGTTATCAGTTATGGATAGGAGAAAATGAAGCTCTCTAGGGCAGGATTTTGCTGCGTTTCACAGAACTTACGTGCTAACTTGAAATAAGTAATGATTTCTTAAAATATTTATATAGTTTATTTCTAGTACAAACACATTATAGGAAGAAAAAAATCAAAGAAACATAGCTAAAAAGTCAATGGAGGAATTCACTAAACAGAAGGAAAAACACAGGAACAAAAGAAAAAATAAAATGCAATATAACATAAAATAGCAGTTCAAAATCCAACTGTATCAATAATTACAAGAAACATGAATGAGGGAGGGCACCAGTGGCTCATGCCTGTAATCCTACCTAGTCAGGTAGTTGAGATATGAGAATTGAGGTTTGGAGTCAGCCTCAGCAGAAAAGTCCATCAGATTTCATCTTCAATTAATCAACAAAAAAGTTAGATGGAAGGTGTGGCTCAAGTGGTAGAACACCTGCTCTGAGTGGGAACAGGTGAGTGAGAATGAAAAGCCCTGAGTTTAAGCTCTGGTATTGGAATAACAAAAGAATGGGATAAACACTCCAATCATACTCAGACAAGGATTAAAAGCACGATGTATGAGGTAACCAAGAAAGGAACTTAGGTCAAAGACAAAATTAGATTGTAAAAGGTACAGCATATAAATTACAGGGGCTATTACTATAAGACAAAATAATTTTTTTTGCACAAGAGCTATTCCTAGAGAAAAGAGATATTTCATGGGTTATAAGTCAGGCCAAAACACTTAAAAAGCATAAATGTATATACACCCAAAACAGAGAATTAAAAAAAAAACTTCATGAAGAAAGAACTGACACTTGAAATAAGAATAAACAATTGAGTAATTTTCCTGAGAAATTTCAAGAGCTCCTTTGTAATTTGTAAAATGTACATAGAAGGACACAGAAAATCAAAACAATTCCTATTAACCACCTTAACCTAAATGCCACATATAACATATTTAACTCCAAAATAGCAAAGTACACTTCTCAATTGTGCATGAATATCCAGAAAGACATAAAGCAAGTTTCAATAAATTTAAAAGGAAAAAAAATACAAAGTAGGAAGTGAAGTGGCTCTGTGGCTCAAGTGATAGAGCACTCACCTTGAATGGAAGAGCTCAGGGACAGCATCCAGCCCCAGAATTCAAGTCCAACAACCAACAAAAAATAAACAAAAAATGCAAAGTATATTTATTCACTGACCATACTTAATTAAAAATGAGAAATAACATTAAAAAACAAGACATGAATTTTGAATAAACAAAATTAGCAACATGAGTGATAAAAATAAATATGGGACTATCCATAAATGTTATTATACTTTTAGCCTATGACATCAAAAGGGAAGGTAGAGAGCACTATAGATAATACTAAAGAAAAAAATTATAAGATTTATAGAATATAACTAAAGCAGTACTTAGAAGATGGGCATCTTAAATACTTATTTGATGAAGTATTAAATTTAGTTTAACTTCTGAAGATAGTTAATGTAAAATATTAATAAAATAAAAAGAGAAAAAACAGATTTTCTCAAGGTTATCTCAAAAGATACATACAAAACCACAAAAATCTAACACTCATTTATGAAAAGTTGCAAAAATCTGCAAACAGAAAGGAAGGTCCTGAACTTAATAAAGCCTACCTATGGAAAAACCTACAGGTAATATCTCTTTGAATAGCACAGACCATACAAAGTGCAGGACAGCATAATCTCCTTTCCTTCTAGGATGGAACAAAACATGATGTTGCTCTTATGCCTTCCATCCACCATTACATTGAAGATCCTAACCAGTGCAATAAGAAAAAAAGGAAGTAAACTCATATATATTGGGTAAGAAGAAGCAATTCTATATTTATTCATAGTGATATGTATGGAAAAGCCCAAGAATGGAAGAAAAGCTAAAGATCTAAAAAACCAAAAGTTTAATAATATCACAAGATAGATCAATACACAAAAGCTACTGTACTCCTACATGCAGAAGGACTTTCAAAAATAAATTTTAGTTGGGTACTGGTGGCTCACGCCTGTAATCAGGAGGCTGAGATGTAAGGATTGCAGTTGGAAGCCTGCCTAGGCTGAAATGTCTGTGAGACTGTTATCTCTATTAAACAACTCAGAAAAAGCTGGAAGTGGTGCTGTGGCTTAAGTAGTAGAGTGCTAGCCTTGAGCAAAAGCAGCTCAGGGATATTGTGCAGGCTCTGAGTTCAAGCTCCAGGACCAGGGAAAAAAACAAATAAACACAAAAACATTCCATTAAAATAGCATTTGCTAGACAAACACTGTGAAGAGAAATTAAAGAAGGCCTAAACTAAAGACATAAAACTGAACCCATTGTTCAGTTAGAATGTAATTTAATCCAACCTTTCTATCACTGTACTGCATAGAACTCTCCAGAGAAGCTGAAACTGTCTGTGTCAATATGACCCAATATGAGAAATATTAGTCATTGTGACTATTGCCATTTGAAATGTTGCTGTGCTATTAAGGAATTAAATTTTTTATTTTAAGTTAGCTTTTCTATTCTCTTTTTTTTAAATGAAAAACAATTTTTTTTCCAGAATTGCTGTTTGAACTGAGGACCTTGCATTTACTAGGCAGATGCTCTACCCCTTGAGCCATTAATCTATTTTAGGTATGTTAAATTTCATCTCTTGGCTAGTCACATATGGTTTATGGCTACTGCAGCAGCCATAAACTCAGTCCACACTCAACCAAAATCTCAACATGATTTTAAAGAAACTGAAAACCTAGCGAAAAAATTCTATAAAGACTGGTGGCATGGCTCAGTGGTGAAGTGCTTGCCTAGCATTCATAAGGTCCACGTTCAATTCTTCCACACTGCAGGAAAAAAAAAAGTGGCAAGACTTAGACTACCTAATTTCAAAAACTTGATTTAAAAGTAACAATAAGTAACCTGGCTAAATCATGGATATAATCCATGTGAATAAAGAGTTCAGTCTCTTCCACAGTTACAAATTAGATCTACTCCACTGGTTCCATGTATGTGCTATTTTACTTTATTTTGTCAGTCATGGGGCTTGAATGAACTCTGGCCCTGGGTGCTACCCCTCAGCTCTTCAGCTCAAGGCTAGCACCCTACCACTTGTGCCATAGCACCACTTCCGGCTTGTTTATGTGGCACTGAGGAATCAAACCCAGGGCCTCATGTACACGAGGCAAGCACTCTACCACTGAGCCAACTTCCCAGCCCTGTTTTATTTTAAATTTGTATGCTACCTGTTGATTTACACTATCAAGCTGGAGTTTCAGCTCTCTACTCTTCAAAATTCCCAGATACCATTATTATGTATGTATACCTTTTTCATATTCTTACCATTCACTCACTCCAAAGAATCAGAATTCAATGACTTCACCCTGTAGTCCCAATGTTTTGGGTATTGTTACTGTGAAGTGCATTCATCATATCATCCAATACTCTAAATTTCCTTTGCATTAGATTTCCTGTTAACTGCATTTGATGTCTTCTCTCTTGGTTTATTCCCTTATTTTGAAGGAGCATATCTCTATGGCTTCTCTTTAACAGCATGTGTAAAAGGATTTTCTTTTTTTTTGGGGGGGGGGCAAAGTTGACTGGTAGTAGGATGGACACACAGATCTATTTGGGGGAAATCATTTGCATGTAGAGTTGAATGCAAAACTTCTTTTCTAGCTCCAAAGCCATTATGATCTGAACACATGATGGTTTGGCTTAAATTTCTTGAAATTGTAGAACTTACTTTGATCAGAATGCTTTGAACATTTACAAGCCTGGATGTGTTTTCGTCCATGGCAATGGGAACTCTGTTGGCCTTTTCAGAAATGCATATCTTTAACTGTGAGATATATTCTTGGATTGCCTCTAACTTTCTTATTTCTTCTCCTTCATTTTATTACTGTATTATCTCTTCTTCTATTATGTTAATGTTAGATTTTCCAAACTTTTTTTAATCAAATACTCTGTTCTCTTGTAAGCTTTCAAATTAATGTTCCATAACTTCTACTAATTTCTAGTATTTTAAATTCCAAGTGCACTTTTTTTGTGGATACTGTTCTGCTACTTATTTATAAAGCATTCTCATTCTCTTTTGGATATCTAGAATATGATAGCTTGTCTTTTTTATAATGTTATTGATGAAAGTCTCTACTTTCAAGTTGATCATCTCAAGATGTTCTCATGTTAAGAGGCTTCTGTCAGGTTCTGCAAAGTGCTTGGTTGCCTATTTGAATAGGGGAGTAGAAATCCTGCTTGAAGCACACATATGGTACCTAGCAAACTAAACTTGATAGTAGTGACCCAGCCAGGGATAACTTAGGAATGTCTCTGCCAGGGCATCTCAGTCTTTCCTTGAGGGTTCAGATTTCCGTTAAGATTTTTCTAATTTCCGTCCCTGGTGGTAGAGGTCTGGCAATCTTACTTCTAAGCATCTAATAGGAAATATACACTGTTTGATCCTGTTTTATACTGAACCACATTAGTGCCCATCAGACCTCAATCAAGAAACTACTCTATTTTACTTCTCTAGAGAGCAAGCTAACTGGATGGGGGAGGGGCATTCATTTAAGGAGAAAGGTTTTACATTTTTAAGAGCTGTAGCCTTTTAAATGCTTCCAAGCCGTTGTCCTTATTTTAGAGTTCTCCTGGTTCCAACTGAGGTACTGGCTAATGCTCATCCTTGGGCCTTTTCTGTCTTTTTCAAAGCTAACTGTTGATTGTATCTTGCTGGCTCGTATACAACAGCTAACTCAAGTCACCATATCTACTTTCTAGCATCTGAAATTGTTTCCTAAGTCAGTACAGATTTATACTGAAAGCAAACAGATCATATAACAGATCAGATGCTCTTACTTGTAGTCTTAGTAGGCCTTTAGGAGGGAGCCAGATTTTGTGTTTGTTCAATTTACTATGGATTCAATCTTTCTGGAATCTCTGTATTTTGTTTTTCACTTCCTCAGGTGACCTGTCCATCTGAAGCCACTCCTCTAAGACAATATATCCTTGGCTCTGATCAAATTGTTTAAAGATGTACAAAGGAGACAGCAATGTCAGAAGTTGAATCACTTGAATCCAGTGAAAGAAAGGCAACGTGCCAGACTCACATCTAGGAGATATGGGATATAACAAAGGTCTATTGGTCTCTTCTTATAGGAAAATTCTATTTCCCTGTTAATAAGGTAAGTTCTTTATCTATCAAAGATAAGCATGTACACTTATCATATTAAACATTTATCATACATTGCATGATATGCTTTTGAGATGAAGATCCACTACACAGATTTCTGCTTCTTCAAAACAGGTAATCATCAATTCACTAAATGAAATGTACTACATGATTTCAGCCTCCTTATGTTCTCAAACCAAAGCAATGAAGACATTATGCTGTTTGAGTATGTGCTGTACATATGCATTTTCAATATAAATATTTTATGTATCCTTCTAGGCATCTGGATTATACCTATGCTAATAGCAAGTTGGCAGGCCACATCATTCAGAAAAGACAGGAAATTAATATTCCTAAGAAGTGAGGAAATTAGCTACTACTTGAGAGGACAAGATATCTACTTCCTAATGAGAAACAACTTGTAATAACACAGTACTATCACATTCTAAGTGTTCGGTAAATATTGAGCTTTCTTTTCTCACCTTCAAAGTCATAAAGACTGCACAAGGAGCTGGTAAGCTCTTTCCAAATCCCAAAATGCTAGGCTTCTACTATCAACTGTGACTAAGAAAATGTGGGCTCTAGGCCCAGTTCCTTCTCAAATGATCTGTGTGACCTCAGGCATGAGATCTCTACATCTCTACATCTCTAAGTTAGTAATCCATACCATTCTTTCACTCTTTTCCCATTGCTACCACAGAAGTAAATGAGTAAAAAAATGTTTATCTTCCCAACACTTGAAATACATTTTAACATTACTATAAATCTTTTTGACCCAACTGCTATAATGTAATAAGGTGAATACCCATCAACTGCTTGGTTATCATCTACAAGTAAATAAAACAATTTTGTAGCTTTAGATTTTAAATTTTAGTGATGATGCTTCTTGGCTGGGTGGTGAGGCATAGAATTTTACAATTTCTTAATACCACAAAAGATCAAGATAATGTCATGTGTATGAGAAACTGAGTTCTGTAAAATATCTCATTATTTTCATGTTGTTCAGTCTGTGTTTCATTGTACCCCAGCAATTTGATGCATTGCATTACAGAAAGGTGTTTCTATTCACTAAACCAGTAAATAAATTGATCATGACAGAAAGAAGAGCTTTTACATTCTCACAATTATTTTAAAAAAACATATATTTCTCAGGTAGAATTCATGTATGTTTTGCATGGTTTGATCTATGACTCCTTGGTTCAACTCCTAGATTATATCATCATCTTGCTTACTGGGCTAATTAATTCAATTTAATCTCCCGCATGGAGAGAGAGGGGCCTGGGGCCTACCCTGTTTGGCTTTTTTCTCTGCGAATTTCTCTCTTGAACTGCATCCTGTCTTTTACCTATTTGCAGAGTCAAGGAAGACTAAGCTTCACCTTTACTGGAAACAGCCTTATTAATCTCTCAGTTTTGCTTTCACCCAGACCCACTATCTGTCATAATGTAAACCAGATATGTGCTGCCTTTATGTTCACTAAAGCTTTACCTCTTGTGAGGTGGTATTAAGAAATCAATCTAAAAGATGAGGATGAGTGAGGGGCTGGAACCACAGCTCTGACGATTTTCTAAGCCTACAGGTGGGAATGGATCACAGTGGGTGGTGACTGAGCAGATGGAATCAGTAGTTCTCAAAAGCATAGAGTATGACATGCACTCTTAGCAAGGCGACGCTTCTTTAAACACACACACACAGAGAGAGAGAGAGAGAGAGAGAGAGAGAGAGAGAGAGAGAGAAGAAATAGCAACAACAACAAAAGGCCGACCTGCTACCAAAGCGTTTTGAATGTCAGACTGGTGCTTGGGAAAAAGAATGGAACAACCCTTAATCACAAGTCTCAGCAGTGTCACCACTGTAAGGAGACACGAGAAACCCGATTAGGGGGTGGTGCTGGCTCTCATTCTCCGTCGCGGCACCGCACCAGGGCCGGATGTCTTAGCAGAGGAGGCTGGAGATGGCCTCGGTGCTGGTGGAGACAGAAATGGTGCTTTTGCACTGTGTCTCATCAGACGATCGTGCCGCCCTCGCGGCCAGCCCTCTCCCCTCCCGCCCGCGGGGACCCCCCGCTTACCATCCTGCAGGACCAGGGTGGGCTGCACCGCCTGCACCCGGAACTGCCTGGCCCTCCAGCCGGGGCTGGGCGCCCGCACCACCTCGCTGTCGGAGAGCCAGGTCACCGTCTCAAAGTTGTCCCCGCGGGCCAGGGCCTCGGCCTCGGCGTGGTGCACGGCCACCTGGTCGAACTGGTAGAGGCCGCCCGAGTGGTCGAAGTGCACGTGGGTGGCCACGGCCAGCAGCGGCCGGCGGGCCGCGTCCTCCTCCTCCTTGGCCCCGCAGTCCTGCAACAGGCCCGAGGAGTACAGGTATTCCGGGAGGCTGCGCAGCCCCAGGCCCGTGTCGATCACCACGTCCTGCTCGGAGCCGCGCACCAGCCAGATGTTGGCGCGGTTGCCCGACTCGTAGAAGCGTTCTTGGATCCAGAAGATGCCGTCGCCCAGCGACTTGTGGGCGTACCACTCGAGCGCCGACATGCTGGGCAGGGGTGCGGCCGGCCGGCGGGAAGCCGCAGAATGTCTCCCGAGGGCCGCGGGTGGAGGCACCGGGAATGCGGTGCGCCGGGAATCCTGACAAGCTGGATCCACGAGTGTGAGCCGGCCCGTCCAGCTCAAACGTGCGCTCCGCTCCGCGTCGCTCTCCTCGCTGCTGGAGGGCTGCGAGTGGAGGCCAAGGGTCGTGTCCGGTTCTTTCCCCTCAACTTTGCCTTTCATTATCTGCCAGAATTGTAATGGGTGCAGGCCTGTCGAGCCGTCACTTAGAAACAAACCGGATTCTAGGTCTAATGCTGCATTAACAGCAGGAGCACATAGTGACAGGTGAAGATGAGAGCCAGACCAAAGGAAGAATCTGTTTTGATTTTAAAAATTTGACACGGGTTGGAGGCATGACTCAAGTGTTAGAGCACCTGCCTGGCAAGAGCGAGGCTCAGCGTCGAAACCACATTGCTGCCCCCCCCCAAAAAAAAAAAAAAAGAAAAAGAAAAGAAAAACACCTAGTGCTGTAATCTTAGCAAGTCAGGAGGCGGAAATCTAGAGAATGGAGGTTCTGGACTGTATCTCCAAAAAGATGAGTTGAACCTGTGGCTCACTGGTAAAACAGTCGCCTAGGAATCTCTAGGCCCTGAATTCAAACCCTAGTATAAATATGAGTAGGGCTTGCAATAAGAGAGAGGTTTTTCTGTTTTTATCTTTGTGTGTGCATGTACATGCTGGTACTGGGGTTTGAATTTGGGCCTTGAGCTCTTACTCAGTCTTTTCACTCATGGCTAGCACTTTGCCACTTGAATTATACTTTCACTTCTGACTTTTTGCTGGCTAATTGGATATGAGACTTGTGGAACTTTGTCGGCCTGGACTGGCTTCAAACCATGATCTTCAGATCTCAGCTTCCTAAGTAGGTAAGGATTATAAGTGTGAGCCACTGGTGCCCAGCTGCTTTTGTCATTCTTTGTCCTCTGGTCCTTTAGTTTATAGCATGTATCTGTTTACTATTTTAGTCTTCTCCCTTCTTATATGTCAGCTGTATGACAGTAGGGACTTTGTTTTCACTACTGTACTGTAGTAAGGGCTGGCACATGCTAGGTGCTGAGTAAATTAAAAAAAATTTTTTTTGGGGGGTCCGGTCGTGGGGCCTGAACTCTGGGCCTGGGCGCTGTCCCTCAGCTCTTCAGCTCAAGGCTAGCACTCTACCACTTGAGCCACAGCGCTACTTCCCGGCTTTTTTCTTTTTTCTTATGTGGTGCTGAGGAATCGAACCCAGGGCCTCATGCATGAAAGGCAAGTGCTCTGCCACTGAGCTACCTTTCCAGCCCCTAAATAAATTTTTTTCTAAATAAGCTAGTTTATAAGCACTAGTTTATTTCTGGGAATAATACTCTTTTTTTTTTTTTGGTTTTGCTTTTGGTGCCAGTTCTGGAGGTTTGACTGAGTGCCTGGATGCTTGCCCTCAGATTTTTTTTTTTTGCTTTATGCCAGTGCTTTACCACTTGATCCATGGCTCC